CCAGCATGAACGGAGGTCCAACAAGAGCCTCTCGTATTTGCAATCTCTAAGCTGCAGCGATCCTTGTTTCTGTGCTACTCATGTGGGTTTTTCTTTGTCTTTTCGGGATGTACGCTTTAATTTTCAACTTCATTTTATAATTTTCCTAACTACCAGTTGGCTTCTATGAACGCGCTGAATCCGAAAATTCGTGGACACGGCTTATCGCATTTAGCTCTACTCTTCACGGAAGGTGACGACTTCGTAACATTTTCATGACGTTAATGATTTGTTTCTTCAGTTCGTGAGAGTTGTTTTTGTAAACACTCGCTGTCACCCGTGAATAAATTCGCGACCTCCTAATTGAGGCTAATCGACTCCCGTGCCGGCATTTTGAACGGCCTTATTTGGAATCTATATCATTGGGTCCGTCCCTTAACTCCCTTCCCCCCACCCATCAGCGAAAGAAATAAAATTATATACCAACTTTAAGGGAATTCCGTCCATAATATTCAAACGAGACACACCGTACTCATTTCAAGGGAATTCTGTCCCGTAACAGTCTAGACACCATGTTCCTTTATACAGGGTATAACGGCCACGCTTTGGATTAATAATAGGAGGTGCGTTGCGTCATCCTGGGATTCCCAATTGCCTGTTGCAAAGTGTCCTAGAGTTTCGACCAATAGCATTCAAGTGAAACACATCGTTCGAATTTCGAAGGCCGAGTATTAGATGGGCATAGCAAGGACTAACTTCAGTTCTATACGAGATGCGGATCGGCTCAATATGACCGACCCGACCCAAAGATGGGCCAGTAGCTCGGTTGGCAATGCGATTTCCGGTCGGGTGCAGGGGATTCATCCCAGACCTCTAGTTCTAAAACTTAGAGGTCTGTGCGGGCTGCGGGCATGCTCGGATAGGCCCAAAGAGGTCCGACGGCTCTGGTGCGTAAAGAAGGAGTTTTAGGTCGAGCTCGGGCAATGCTTCGAATCGGGCCGTTAGAGTTGGGTTCGGAAAAATTGAACCATGGAGGCCTCTGGTGGACGTACAGACACACGAATATACAAACCTAGAATCCATTATACAGGGTGTCTCATAAGTATCTATACCATTTAAGAAAAAAAACATCTACTTAACAGTTGGCACAAAAAGGAAGCAACAATTAGTGAATGATAACATGTCATTTGGAATTATTTTTCGCTAAAATGGAAGAAATTCTGAGTTTTGAAAGTGTCTCAAAATGCCCTCCGCCTACATCAATACATTTGACATGAGGCATGGCACCAAAAAATCACCTAAACTCTCTTTGAACTCTCAGTGACCTAAGGCCAGGTGGAGATAATAGTTACGCCTTTCAAATTTGCACTCGAGCGATTACCATTTGATTCTGATATCAAGTCATTATTGTGAAAAAAAACCTGTAAATATGTCCTTTCCATCAATGCCAAAATAGTGACCTACTTGTCGCAGTTCGGCACAGTGACTAATGGGACACCCTGTATGCATGAACGGAGGAGAGGGCTCTCTACAAGAATATATTCCCAAATCCACGATTCCGGAAACGAAATCCCGGCAAAGGGGAAGAGGGGAGTCAGACTGGCACCTTCCCACGAATACAAGCAGGGACCCAAGGACCCTTCCGCTAGCCTTAACGCCTCCGTGAAATGCGGGTGAAGCTAGGGGAGGAGCATAGAGCGGAGACGAGCGTGAGAGTGTCGTCTGCTACGCCGGAATCGCGAAACGTTTCAAGTAAAACTCCTTCCCAATCAGTGTTACATGCAAATAGACAAATGACGCATGTGTCAAATCACTCCTCAGACATTCCCGTTTTGAATGCAAACTGCAATTTTGAAAGAATCACAGAGGGTCAAGGCAGAAACGGAATTTTTCTAGCAGTTTTTCGTACTTTCCTGAGTAACGCAAAGAGATAATTTGATTAAACTTCCCACAAATATAGAGCAGGAGGAAACGCATAAACTCACGTATCCTTTTTCTGATTCATTGATTTTTGCGCAAGTTATGGAGGTTGAAAAGTTTCGCGGAAATTGCTATTCACGTTACCACGCCCGTAACAACAAACATATAAAATCAAGCTTGCCTTCATCTTAAAGAGCTATTTAAAACGAAGAGAATGGTGCAAGTTTCAGCAATTTTGGTTAAGTGGTTGAGAAGATAACGGCTTTCAAAGAGGAGTGGGTCAGCCGTGACCTTTGACCCTACTTTCTGGACATGCGGTTCACCTGAAGACCTCAGTGAGGGGCTCCAGAGGCCTTCCTTAAGGTCCTCTACAACAATTACATAACAGAATTTCCATCCAGGAGGGTCAATTTTTCGGTGTCCCTAGTATTAATACCTTAAGGGCTCGCTTGAGACTTTCAATATTTGGATTTCTTCTGTGGTTGACCATCAACTCCAACTCTGCCCACAGTTTGTTGTCCAGTGGGTTCCCAGATGGCCAATCGGAGGCCTTGATGAACTCGGGGACATTGCTGGCTAGCCACTCCTGCGTTGTCCTAACCTTGTTAGCAGGTTCGGAGTCTTGCTGGAAGATCCAGTTGCCCCCATTGAACATTGTTTAGCTGAGAGGCTTCACTGACTTCTCTAAGACTTCTTCCTGGTACACATTGGCTGATGTCTTAGTTTGTTGTCCAGTGGGTTCCCAGATGGCCAATCGGAGGCCTTGATGAACTCGGGGACATTGCTGGCTAGCCACTCCTGCGTTGTCATAACCTTGTTAGCAGGTTCGGAGTCTTGCTGGAAGATCCAGTTGCCCCCATTGAACATTGTTTAGCTGAGAGGCTTCACTGACTTCTCTAAGACTTATTCCTGGTACACGTTGGCTGATGTCTTCACTTCTTGCTTGCAAAATGCAGCTTGGTGACACCCTCATAACTCAACCCCCACCAAACCATGACAGAAGCAGTATGGTGACCTCTCTTCACCTTATGGATGACTTCTGCAGCTTCCCAAGAGTTGTGGGCATACACTTGGCCATTTGGCCAGTTGAATTTTTCTTCGACAGTGAAGATTTTCTCATCAGTAAAGAGGATTTTCTGGTGTCTGTTTTGCGCGTACCTCTGCAGCAACACTTTCGATCGCGACCTCCTGATTTCTTTTAGAGATAGAGTCAGTATGTGTCGGGTGCTTCTTCGGTAAGCACCCATCCTTAGGTCTGATTTAATCAACCAATACGTGCTTCTAGTCGAGATGGCCATTTTCCTAGACATCACTTTCTGCTTGCGTAGAGGATTTCGCTGAATCCTGTTGCTAACTTCTATGGTGACTCGTGGTGTTCTGGCAGTGGGTGGACGTCCAGATCTAGGGCGGTCTCGTACTCACTGAGTAACGTTTGATAGCTCGATAAACAAACTGCCGACTGATTCCAAGTGGCTGCAAAGTCTTGAAATAATTGCAGGTTTGAGCAGGGCAGTCATTGCTATGCGATTCTCTTTGTCACCCCACTCCATACTTACTGCACGCAACACTACAGCCAAAATGTTACCAAACAATACGGCAGATAATACATTGCACGATTACTACTGTAGGTTACAAGTTTCTAGCTAGAATGCAGGGAACATGTAAATCTTGTAACAGTATTTATGGCAGAACTAGGTATAATAGCCAATCGTTCTAGCATTGATCTTTTCTCACAAGCATATTCAAGCGGGTTTCTGTTTCAACAAGCCACAGTGAAGTGCGCTTGAGACCATGCCACGCATCATCCACATCTGAAGTGATATGAGGTGCTGCATAGGAAGGAGTTGAAAAGGGCATCCCCAACCATGGTTTCACAGTGTCTTCAACGGTTTTTGCGACTTCACAGATCCCCATGAAGGCAATGACGCTACTGGCATTTCACCTTTGCAGATACATATCGGCCAACTGTACAAGATTGAATGAAACATTCGGTCCGCTGGTGTTGGTAAGCCCAAAGATAATAGTTCCATGAAAAGTGTGAGACAACAAACAAACAATTCATCGCGAAACCACAACAATTCCCAACATACACCGAGTGCGTTCACGATCCAAGTCGGCTGGCTTTGATTTGTCAAATGCCCATCCTTTTGTTTTGAGGTTGCTCATCGGCCAGCATCTTGCGGTACTTTTGCTCGTCGTTTTGAATGTGAAGTCAACTCCCACACAAATGATAGGATCGAGGATCTTGAATAGCAAGGGCAGAAACGGGACATTTTTCAGAGGAGAATATTGCATACTCTATCAAACTCAATATTGCATGTGCCTCAAATATTTTTTGTTGAATTAACCGATGTTCTCCGGGAAAGAAGCAGGCGCCGACAGCCTCCAAATGCAGAGCGTCAAGGAACTCGTATTTCTCATAATTGCTTATGATAAGCAGTAAAAGCGCATGGAAGAACTACTGTTATTTAGCCCTTTCATACTTGAATTAAAACCGCTATCAGAATAATATGCATTTTTGCATTTTTGAGCTCTTTCGTGATTGAAATGGAAATTATATTGCTTCATAATAGCCAGCAATTATCCCAAGAGATACAATTTATTACATTATAGAATAATCTTTGAGTGGGGTATGCATAAACAAGAGCTCTTGATTTGCCATAAAAGAGATGATTGGGAATTGTATGATAATTTTCATTAGTAGAAGAATCCAAAGTGCGTCATTTCCCTTGCCATAGTCACCTTCTGCTGACAATATCCAGTTGCGAAATATTGTTTACGTAGTTAGGACACATGCAGTTTTTCTCAAGGATGTAGGAAAAGCACTCTGGACGTTTCTCGAGGTAGTCATATCTCTGGATGGAAGCAATGCGGACTGGTGTGAGGCAGGTTCTCCTATTCCTGGTCCCCCTTGTTCTGGTTCAGACTCAGACATGGGAGAGACATGAGACCTTGGATCGAGATGGGATCGTGAATTTATTCTGGACTGCGGATTTGGAGAATGGGGAGATCACATTCGAGCTGCATGCGAGGACTCAGGGATGGGCCGGGTTAGGATTCTCGGCCAACGGTGCCATGACTGGATCTGACATTGTCGTCGGATGGATCAAGGATGGACAGACATGGAGAATGGGGAGATCACATTCGAGCTGCATGCGAGGACTCAGGGATGGGCCGGGTTAGGATTCTCGGCCAACGGTGCCATGACTGGATCTGACATTGTCGTCGGATGGATCAAGGATGGACAGACCTTCTTCACGGTACCAATAGGAGGCATTATATGTCCCAATAATTGTATTTTATAATTAGTGAGTTTTTTTACCCCTCGGGCAAACCAACTCATTATGATCGCAAATTTGGCGCTCCATTGTGCAGCAAAGTAATTCATTCATTGATTTCATTTAAAAAAACGCATTAAAAGTTTGTGCCTGTCAAAATGTGTACGGAGAGAGAACGAACAGATATTTCCGTCAAAATAATAACTCTCATTCTTTCTTGTCTGCCTAACATCAAATCTCTTCATAATCTGTCCTGAGGGGGTCATATTTGAAAAGTAGGAAATGCACGCAGCAATCCAACAAGTTCTTCTGCTCCAAGTTTCAACTTTCTTTAGTTCTATCATTCGTTTGATGGGAAAAGTTTCCCTAAAATGAGCCTTTTGCAAGAATGTTACCTCAAGGGATTTACTTGAAAACTAACATTTTTGCTGTCATTTTTACTCGGAGAAATAGGTGCCTTCACCTTCTAAATTCTTGGAATTTTTCTCTGTCATTGACATTCATTGAAAACCTCTCATAATTGACTTCAAATTCATTTCGTATCACCGATCGTTGTCAGAACCAACTGTTACCTTTGGCCTTAGTCGTCGTAATACACGGGTCAGGCGAATGAAAAAAATACATTTTTTCTGGCTGTGAGAGTTCTGTTACTTAGAGTATTCCTTACGTTTGTTGAGGCAAACATCCAAACGCGTCTCAATAATTTTTTCATTACCAGCCTCATATATTTTCCGTGGTTGCAGTTTGCCCCACAATATGACCGCCCCCTGTAATTCGTCATCCGTGCGGAAACTCTGCCCACCCAAAGTCCGTTTCAATGGACCGAACAAGAGTAAGTCGCAAGGGGAAGGGTCAGTGCTGTACGATGAGTGTGTCACCCTTCAAACTCTCACGTCTGCTTCGGAAACGTATGCACCATTCCTACACTCGAGGCCGTTTTTGGTGCGATAATTGCTGGTATAAACAGCGCCCGAATCGGGAATGAATTAAGATAGGCGATGTACATTCAGCAGTAAAAAAGAAAAATATTTATAACTCCCAGGGTTTCATTGGACGCTCCAAGCATTGCGAACGCAATGTTGCTTGAGCAATTGTGCGGTTATTTTCGAATGTAAATTTTTGCCTTATCTGACACAAGTTCACAAAATCTCTAAACATACCATGGATACATATTGAACATTCATGAAAAGTTATTATTTTACATTGCGTATTCCTTGTTTTCATATTACAGAATCTCGTAGCTGTCCAGATCCTTATTTCAACATAAAGTTTAGGAGGCTATTCATTTGAGTTTTCAAAATAAGAAGTTTGCAATAGTATAATCAATTTTTAGCTGCATTTCAAATGAATTTAAAGAAATATTGTTATTGGACTACGAAATCATGCTTCAGGTTTTCCCTGGCACATCTTCTATTGTCGCTCAGATCTCTAATTGATGATCAATACCTCTTTAGATTTATCGCCTATATATTTTGTTGAGCAAGATGAATCCCTTCCGTTAGTTGAATATCCCAGAACTTGAAATTATAATTTCGAAAAGACGTAGGTGCTTTTTTTCTGTCTTCCCGCGTATTTCATGTTGGCATTGCAGAAACGTCCATTCTCAGAAGCATGGAAATCATGAACATGGTGGCATTCTATCCCTTAATCACCTCTTTGGTAATTTTGAATCCTTATACAGGGTTGTGCAAAAGTTCCCGTACACTTTGATTAGCGCTTCGATTCTCTTTAGGCGTCATAGCTCCAGAGAAAAAAATTCAAATAAATAATGAAATTTACTATAATGAAAACATTTCGTATCAAAAATGTCCGTAGAATTAAGAAAAAAACACACATCAGAATCGCCAAAAATTCGTTGATGAGTGAAAAAAAATAGATTTTCAAAGTGTACGGTAACTTTTGCACGACCCTGTATTATGCAAATAAATCATGTCTTACTTGATTTGCTTTGCCAGGACCGACACGCAGTGGGAAACGAGTTGCCTTTGGTGGACGAGAGTCAAGACTACGAACTCCTCTTCGCATCAGAGGACGAAGAAGGGTTGACCCTAAGATTTAAACGTCCCATCGACACCTGCGATGAAGATGACTTCTACATCACCGTACGTAGAACGTCGCCACAAAGGCCAAGAAAAGTCATCATTGATAGGCAGTTGCTTTTAAAACCATGGCAAACCAATATAAATTCTGAAATTTACAAGCTTTCTACTGGAAATCTTTTTTCTCTTGACTTCTAGGGAAGCTTTCCTTTTCTAGCCCCTGTGTTGACAGAACGACCGATCTGGAATATCTTTCAATTGGAAGGGCAACTCTTAATGTATCTCGCGAGACATTGTTGGCATAGAGGAAATTTGAAGTTTGTGTCTTCCATAACGTCTCGAATAAAATAAATTTCGAATAATTGCCAAAAGCCCAAAAAGTTCCCATGTCTATATTAAAGTCATTAATTAGAGTATTTTATATATGTTCGACACCACGACTAGTTTTGCCAATCCTGATACGTTTCTTTTTTTTTTACCCATATTGCCTCCTGTCTCAGAGTGCAAAGTCTGTGTTTGAGACCTCCCAAGGGCAGCACACACACTTTGGCTCATTGTAGGGACTATGATGGATTCCGATGTATGGGCCCAAGAAACGTTCCTTCCGCTGAGCTTTTCCACCTTAGAAACACCTTTTAGATAGAGTCTCTCCATTTTCCTAAAGGGTTCTCATAGGGAATCTGAGCTTGTTTATGACCTGGGCTCCATGATTATTTCTCGAATATACGGATAGCAAATGATGAAATGTCTGAGTTTATTGATTTTTATAATGAATTTTTGGCGAAACATATAGCGAAATACAAAGCACTCCTGTGAGGGACAATTACTGAGAAACAGGGAAGGGAACTTCTGTGTACTATGCGAAAAAGAGACCTATACCTTCTTCTAGTGGCCTGAAGGAGAACTTCAAGATTTCCCAAAATCGTTTAAGTGCAACTTAGACACATTGGATTATCGTGTCGGTCCGTTTGTTGGATCGATTATAGAATTACAATATAGGGTCCCCAATATTTAGCCGATATTAGCAATATTGGCCAAGGTGCTGCCAACGTGCCCAATGTTGATCCAGCATTTGGTCAATATCTGCTGTTACACCCAGTAGCACCTAAAACTGGAAAGCCCAGAGATACGACCAACATTGGCAGCCCACAGCGATGATGTCCTACGCCACCACAAGGCCCATAGCCAACTTAGGCCAACCATGTGAGTTGGCAACATGCTGTTTGGAATGGATATATATAGGCCTACAGTGTCGCCCAAAAGGACATACTTTTCAATGCGCATTTTGNGTAGAACCGTTTTCCACTAAATGTGAGCAATAGTTACCAGTTGGAGTGATCGTCCGACTATCCTAGGCCGTAGTGTTCATGTTCTGCCTCATTAACGATCTAAGATCGTAGTAGCTCTTAGAATCAGAATCATCTCTTAAACGAAAATGGTACTATAAAAGTTTCACTCTTGAGCCTTTATTTTTTGCAGTGCAGGATTTTCTTTCTGGTTACATGTAATGGAAAGAGGAAAGACTTAGCTACAAAATGTTCTTCGCAGACTTGAAAATTTATTAAACGGCGATTTCGAAGAAAATGATTGAATTTCGGTTGCGAAAAATCAGCGCACACCTACTCGACCCAACATCCCCTCGGAGGTCCGACACTCACGAGAAAAAGAATGATCGGATGTGCTTGGCGTTGTAGACTGTCGGTGAGCGCGACGTCGTATTTTCATAACCGAAATTCAAAATTTGTTTATAAGCTACCGTCTAAGATTTTTCAGGTGTGGAAAAAACATATTGTTTGTTGGCAGCCAAGAAAGGCCCAAGGACTTTACCAATAATGCGCCATTATTGGTCGTATTGATTGGCCTTCCTCTGGCTGATGAGACTTGGGCCAAGACGAAGGAAGGCCCAAGCACTTTAACGATGATAAGTAATGGTTCGCCCAAAGATGTTTGCCAATGTTGGGCCCGTTATGTCCCAAAGGAAGGTATTGGATGATGCAGGATGAATTCCTGGAAGCACTGCCCGCATTCGTGAACTTTTAGGGTGGGAAGGACTCAGCATAGTTCTAAGCTCAACTTTTTAATGACTTCCTTTAAGGAAAATGCACTGAAGGGCTGCCGCATCCCCCCCCCCCCCCCCCC